TTGCTTACTTGCATAACTCATACACAGTGAACATGCTCGCTGTGTATTTAAAAAACAAATTAAAATCAAAATTGCTAAATATGTATAATGTAAAACAAAAATCAACCAAAAAGAAATCAAATTAAATATGTTAAATATGTATAATGTAAAAAATACAAATAATCGAATTTATTAACTTAAATTTGTGGTTATTTTAGAGTGCATTATTAGGAGTTTACTTATTAAGTTCCTAATAATGCACTCTAAAACGTCCACTATTACCATAAACTGACCACATATATTAAGGAAATAAGGGAGTAAGTACCTTAATCATTCTTCCAGTAAATGTTTGACACAGTTGATTACAATCAATGTTAATTACAATCATTAATTGATGTGTATGCTCTATTGCATACACTATATATGTGACTTTTCCATTTTCAATTAATATTTAAAAAAGTTGTAAGGTCTTTTTCTTTATCCCCTCATGAAGAATGCAACTAACTTCAAACGATTTTGTTGATACACTATGTTTAATATATCATTTATATATCATATATATCATAATGTATCATAAATGTAAACGATGTTAACAAATTAGTCTAATATAGATCTTTGGGGTATACCACTAGTTGCGCTAGTTTATACATAGTTTATCATTTTATAACTATATAGTTATTATATAATAATAATTATAGTTGATACATATTTTATATATCATTTTTATACAAAATATAACTACATAACTACATCTTATTTATGATAAAAAATAATTTTATTCCAGATAAAAAATGATTTTACCTTAGGTATCATATTCATGTTTAAGCTGTTGAATTAAATATTGAATGCATTTGCCTTTTTTCATTTATTAAATATAATAATACCCTATTTTGATATCCATGTTCATTGATTTTTTTTCAATTATATTTATTTAATATAATTGAAAAATAATCAATGAACATGGTGTGTAGAAACAAATTGTTTCTACACATTTCTGTATTATACATCCATAAACATGGTTTGTATCTATGCTGTATATATATATATATATATATATATATATATATATATATATATATATATATATATATATAAATATATATATATATATATATATATATATATATATATATATATATATATATATATATATATATATATAAAATGTTTATGGATTTTATTATGCAAAGCTATTTTGTAAACAGCATTTTATAATGATAAGAACTGGTTTCTTTACTTTACTAGTATCACTGCTTCTCCAGAAGTAAATGGAATGACAGGCTTAACACTTGGTGTTTTCATTTGGAAGCTAAAAACTCCCTCAGGCAGAATTCCTCTTGGAATTGCTTTTGGTTTAGTTTTAAAAAATGTACGCTTAGATCATGCTTTGAAGAGATTTGCCAATGTTGAAATGAGTGCTTCATGGTTAAGTGATATATCTATAGGTACTTTTCAAATAATATTATTTTTCTCTTTTGTTGTGTAAGAAAACATAATTTATATTTTGCATATTGTATTTAAGATATAAAAATTTCGAGTGATGAGAAATAATTAAAAATTAATAAAAAAATGTGAGTTGTGCAGTATGTATTTATTAGGTTGTATCTTCTGGTAGGGTGTAACATTAGGGTATAGCATTAGGGTGTATCATTAGGGTGGTCCATTTGAACTTTTTTAATTTTAACTGGGGTTTTTACCAGTGATGACATTTGGTCTAAAAACACTAATTACTAATCATTTTGAATTTAGAACAATTTTTAGATCCCCACAAAACATTAAAAATTTAAGTAATGGATTGTGCGAGTGTTGTGCAATGCTTTTACCCACAGCTGTTATTGTTTCTCAGTGGACAACAACAGTTCTTAAAAAACATGCCTCAACGGTAATAAGTTTAATTTGCAAAGTTTTTAATGAACCTTATTCTATATCTTTTTAATGTTGCAAAGTATATATCTAAGCATATAGTTACTAACAGTGTTTATATTACAAGCTTCAGTCTTGTATTAAACCATGGCAATGGCTCTTAAATCAAAGAAAGTTTGTAGACCTTGTAAAAGTTTGGGAAATAATGTATCTATTGAAGCAGAAGAGACAGTACACAGATTAGGAAAGTTTTAATATATATTCCAGCTATTGCTATAACAAAAGTATTGCTGTTAAAAAAACACAGACGCGCTTCTTGTTAAAATCATTGAAGTGTTGGTTTCTCCTTAGAAAATTTTAAAGGAAGAAGCTACCATTAAATAGATCTATATTTAGAAAAATATCTATTTAACTGAGAAAATGATCATAGAAAAGAAACATGACTCATTGCAAATCAACTAGGTGGCAATATCATTGAAAACATTTGGTTACATGCTTGTATTCCAACAAAGTCTAACAGGAAGAATTGTGTTGATCAGATTGTCCGTTTGGTAAAAGAATATGAGACAGGAAAAAATTCCTGAAAGGCAGAAAGAAAAGTAAAGCAAAAAACTACATACTTTATATTAAAACTGGAGAGTCCCCCCTCCTCCCTGTTTTGATATATCACTTACAGACACTTATACATTGCTGAAACGGAGGCTTTTTACTTATTTATTGTTTTATAACTCTGTCTTAACCTTAAAGTCCAAAAGTGTGTTAAAAAAAAACTGTTGTGCAAAAATCAGATTGAGTGCAGTACTTCTAGATGTACAGGGTGGAGAAGTGTAGGGTGGATTTGAGTATTGAACTTCTTGATTGTGAGTCAAAAGTTCTACCATTAATCTATGACAGCATTGAGTTGTAAAAAAGAAAAAAATGTTTAAATAGATAAAAAAAAAAACAAGTCAAAAATCAATCTTGAATAACAAACCTTTATAAACTCTCGAAAATATTGATGTTACTTTTTACACAAGCAATACCTGGAATAATATATGAACTTTTTTGCTTTTGTTATCCTATGACACTACAATGAAAGATTTTGGTAATTCTGAACAACTTTGATGGAAACATTTTTGCTTTTTTGGCTTGTTGTCATTTTTTTTTCTATCAATTGGATGCAATTTTAACAACAATTACTAGTTTATCCTGTCAGGTAAACATTACTGCTACTTATATTTTACCCCCATGCTTTGCTCCTGTTCCATACAGCAGTTAATAAAAGTTCACTTAAAAAAGTCAATCACCATACCCAAAATTGTCAGTACACCCAAAATTGTCACTGCACCTAAAATTGTCACCACACCCAAAAAATTTGTCTGGCAAAGGTGTTAGGGTCAGGAATAAGCCTATCATTCTTTTTTTTTTGTTCTTGAATTTTAAAAAATAATAAAGTTTAAACACTGTGTATTAAATGTAAGTAACAAGTTTGTTAAGTTTATCATTTTCTATTAAATATTCAAAAACACAAACATTTATCATCATTTGAAACTGTATTTAAATGCAGTAAATTTCAATTATGATAAATTTCACCATATCAAGTAAGACTTGATATGGTGTGTAGGCTATAGCCTACAATATGTTAAAAAAAAAGTTTTGTTTATGTTTGAAATAAATATGACTTGTCTCAGCCTTTGAGGATCCCTTTAAGATATTATTACATTTACAAAATATTAATGTTTATAGCCGGCTATAAACTTGGTAAATCCTATTAATTTTTTGTAAATTTAATAATATCTTAAAGGGATCCCCAAATGTTGGACAAGTCATATTTATTTCAAACATAAAAACAACTTGTTTCTTTAACATCTTGTACCAGTTTCTAGGCCTATATATATAGAACTTTTTTTGTTGTTGTTGTTATTAGTCATTTCTGGTTTGAATAATGAATGTGTGTGTTTTCCCTAGAGATTTTTTTAAACAATTTGAATTATATAGGCACATAAGCTTGAGTTAATGATTTTTAAAGTTGTCTTTGGTGGTTCTAATAAAATATTTGGGTTGCATTTCAGTTTATAAAATGTTTCAATTTAAGATAACACTGGAGTCCTAATGAAAACGTTTCAGTTCATGATAACACTAGAGACTTATTGATAACATTTCAGTTCATGATAACACTGAAGACTTAATGATAACGTTTCCGTTCATGATAACACTGGAGACTTTATGATGTTTCAATATATGATAACACTGGAGACTTTGACAAAATGAAAAATATAGTCATACTTTTTTTAGGCTTTTTTAAAAAGCTAAATTTATTAAAAAAAAAAAATTACTTAAATTCGCAAAGAAATTTGTGATGCTATTTTCTCATTTACTCAAGAAGTATAGTTAGATTTCTTATGTCTTGTTGCTGCAGCAACAGATAATGCATCTGCAATAGTTTTTCTCTTTATGCAACATCAATCTTTTTTATGTTTTGATGCAATCTTGGCAGTAACCAGAAAATTTTAAAGATTCTTTGGCAAGTTGGCATTTTAAAAATTAAACAAATTAGCAACCAATATCAAGGGTTTGTAAAGCCACCTGTTTCACATTCAGAAGTCAACATAAAGCTGTGTTTCATGCTAAGGTAGGATATATTGAATAAAAATGTGATAAATTTCTTTCTTTTGTTCATATACATCATAAATTGAAACGTTATCCTTTTAATTCTCCAGTGTTATCATTAATTAAAATGCTTACTACTAGGAGTGCAATTTTTTCTACACACAGCTGCTTTGTCAGGGTTCATGCTTTAGAGTTTAGAGGGTGTCGTAACTACAACTTTTTTATACAATACGATGTTTTCTACACACTAAATGAGTAAAATTTGTCATTATTATATTTACTTAGTTTTTTTTTATGTTTTTTTAGTAATGCTGGTTAGTACTGCCAATAAAAATTATTGTAAACAAGATGAAAATAAAGATTTACCAGAATGTAAAAAGCCTGAACAAAGTAGCAGACAAGCATCAGTTTATGAAAAAAGAGCAATAAAATCCCAAACAGCAAAAAACAGATCATTGGAAAGTAAGGAAGCTACTGATGTAAAAACACCTAAAAGAGCTACTGATGTAAAAGCACCAAAAAGCACACATTTTGAAACAATTAATGATCTCAAAGATATTGAAGTAGTAGAAGGTGATGCTTTTTTTAAATATATACTTTAATTATAATGTATAATATAATTACTTTATTTATTGCATAATATATAGGGGAGAGTTGCTTAATTGGAACAATTTAAGAATAAATACTTACTAACCGAACATGGTTTAACTATTAAAATATTTATGATTTGAATAATACAAATAGACATCCCTACTATACTTTTAACCACAAATTGACTTAATTGATTGCACTGTTATTGGAAATAAATTTGTTTTTGCAAAGATACCATTTTGTTCCAATCAAGTCAACTGGTTCCCTAAATTGGAACACTTTGATTCTTAAATCAGAAACGGTTATTTTAAAAAAAAAAACAGTCCAGTAAAATTGGTTAAAAATGATTTTGAAAATTTAAACAGTTAATTTAAAACTTATTATAGGATTAGTATTATCCTGACAAACTTAAACAAAAGACAAACAAAAAATTGTATAAAAGCTTCAACTGTTATGATGTTCTCTTAATTTATAGATTAAAAATCATTAAAAAAAACTACTATTTTTACGCTTTATGTTTGTTATTTTGCATTTTAAATCCCATCGAATTAAACACAAAAAACCGTATAACCTATAGCACTATAGTTTACCCAGCACAATCAATATAGTGTAAACACAAAATTAGATCACTGAAAAAAAATGATGCAAAAAAACTTTCAATTAATGGTGCAAATGCATTTTTTGAGGAATAACTTTCAAAATGTGTCAAAACGTAGAAAATAAAGTGCTTTACTAAAAAAATGCAAAATATAGCCATAATTCATTTTTTTTTTCAAAAATAAATGCAAGTGTTCCAATTAAGGCCAGCGCCTTAATTGGAACACTTAATTCCAATATCGGCAATTCTGAAATTATAACACTGGGGAACAGTTTAAAACTTTTTTCTGTTGACTTTGTTATACTGATTTTAACTAAAATTGGCACGCTGATTTCCAATTTGACATCAGTTTTTTCCAGCTTGTCAGGTTTTTCTGTTCAGCTTACCCTACAAATAATGATAATTCCATTGTTTTATTGTTTAGCTGTTGTAAAGCTTTATCTTATTAACTAATTCTGATTGGCAGTTACAATTAAAAAAAAGAGTAGTAAGTGGTGTTTATAGCTTCCAGTTGGTCAGTAAAATCAGTACATTCAAGTTATATTTCACTGAATGCTGTTTTTTTCCAGTTTTCTAAGATAAAAGTATGCAAGCAATGTGTTGAGAGTTTACGCCTATAGGCCAAAGGAAAATATGAAAAGTTGGTATTTGTTATTGGTTTTGGTAGAGGGCAAAAAAATCAGTGAAAACATTTTAAGAAGAAAAGTAGAATAATCTCTTAATCTTAATCTCTTATCTTAATTCTTTAGCTTATCTACTTTATCTACTTTATTTACTTTATCTTTAGCTTATCTTTTATCTCTTATCTTATCTTTAGCAATCATTATAAATTAGCTTGTGGCTGGATAGCTCAGTTGGTTAAAGCGTCAAAGGAAAAGATAAAACCTGGATTGTTTTAAGATACGAGTTCAAATCCTGCCACTGCCAACTCAGCGCTTGAGTAGTACTTCGGTACGCAAAAATGTTGGTCAATAACAGACGCTACTTTGGATTAGTCTTAATGATTTTTTGTGGTTGTTGTTAAGCCAACTATATCTTCAGATATAAAAACATTGTATATAAAAATATAGAATGAAAATTCAAATTAAAAAAAAAAAAATCAAATCTGTTTAAATTCCAGTTTTTTAACTGCCTCATGTAGAAGAACTGATTGATGTTGAAGAATATGATGACAGAAATGATATAGATTTTAAAATTCTTGAGCATTCAGTTCATAAGGAATTCGATCAGCATGAATCAAATGATTTGACGCGTGTTTTAGGCCTCATAAAACAAATTTCAGAAATCTTAGCTGCGAGACTTTAAGAAATGTAAAAAACTTGCTTGAAAAAAGAGTATCACACTTTCAAACTAGAAAAAGTACATTTCTGCAGTACTTTTAAAGTAACAGCAGTTTTGTGTTTTGCAATAACATTTCTGGTTTACTGAAGGAATTAGGGCTTTCAATCTACAATCCAGATGAATAAAGATCGTTTCTTGATAATTCAAAGCAGAGCTTGAAGTTTTTCCTACTACACAATCGCAATTTATATGGTGCAGTTCCTATTGGGAATTCAGTTATTTTTTATGAAGAAGATGTTGGATGATTGAGATGAAAAGATGATAGAGATGTTTTTTGACATTAAAATGGTGTACTACCATCTTGGCCAACAATATGAATACAAAAAGTATCCCTGCTTTCTTTGTATTTAAGATAGCAGAGCTCAAAAGAAGCATTGGATTGAGCCACATTAGCCTTCAAGATTATATTTTAAACCTGGAGATCCCAACATTGTAATGAGCCACTTGTTGACAGGAAGAAAATAATCTTCCTTCCTTTCCACATAAAACTAGGTCTCATGAAGCAATTTGTAAAAGCATTGCGATCTGAGGATGACTGT